AGCGAAATGCAACAAGTAACTCACTCACCGGCCGTCATCGCTTTATTCCACTTTCCTGCAGCATTCCGCGCGCGTATCTCTTTCCTCGCTTTTGTGTTGTAGTACGTAGGTATTCCTTAATATGAATCCTTCTAGCTTTGCTTACCTCACACAGTCGCACTATCACTTGAATGACTTTCAATGTACTTGCATTGTTATTATCACTTGAACGACGTATACCGCCGATACGCGAACGACCGGACGAATCAGAAAATATAAGTTAAATTATCGCGGCGTCATTAGCGAATTTTCGAAAGATTGCGCCGACCGACAAAACGCGCGGGGCGATTACTCGATTCGACACACTCGGCATTCGTTATTAGCACACGATACTCACTTTCGACAGATTAAAAGACGAAATCGCAATCGTAAGTTATGTGACGGCAACGGCCCGTCGGGGTCACTTTTCGAGAAGAGAGACTAATCGAGATGTGATTGAGCGATCAGGTGTGACCTCCATTTTTGAAACTTTGATTTTTATATCGACGAAATAAAAAACAAAGGCGATCGTCCATTGCTCGATTCGATACTGATCTCGATATTCATTAGCACACGATATTCACTTTCGACAGACTAAAAGACACGAAATCGCAATCGTAAGTTATCTGACGGCAACGGCCCGTCGGGTCACTTTTCGAGAAGAGAGACTAATCGAGATGTGATTGAGCGATCAGGTGTGACCTCCATTTTTGAAACTTTAATTTTTATATCGACGAAATAAAAAACAAGGCGATCGTCCATTGCTCGATTCAATACTCTCGATATTCATTAACACACGATACTCTCTTTCGACAGACTAAAAGACACGAAATCGCAATCGTAAGTTATCTGACAGCAACGGCCCGTCGGGTCACTTTCGGTGCGTGTCATTTTTCGAGAAGAGAGACTAATCGAGATGTGATTGAGCGATCAGGTGTGACCTCCATTTTTAAAACTTTAATTTTTAATTTTTATATCGACGAAATAAAAAACAAAGGCGATCGTCCGTTGCTCGATTCAATACTCTCGATATTCATTAGCACACGATATTCACTTTTGACAGATTAAAAGACGCGAAATCACGAAGCGTACGTTATCCGACGACAACGGCTCGCTGACCACTTCATTGCGTGCACTTTACGAGAAGAGAGATTAGCCACGACGTAATTACGAGCGAGGCGCGATCACAATTTAAAAAAAAAATTTTTAATTTTTATATCGACGAAATAAAAAAAACAAATAAATCAAGGCGACAATCCGTTGTTCGATTCGACTTCCGATTATTCACTAACACATGATATTCACTTTTGGCAGACTAAAAGACGCGAAATGGCAATCGTAAGTTATCCGACGGCCACGGCCTGTCGGGTCACTTTCGGTGCGTGTCACTTTTCGAGAAGAGAGACTATCGCGACGTGATTACGAGCAAGACGCGATCACCATTTTTGAATTTTTATATCGACGAAATAAAAAACAAATAAATCAAGGCGATAGTTCGTTGTTCGATTCGACTCCCGATACTCATGCACTAGTACACGATATTCACTTTTGACAGATTAAACGCGAAATCGCGAAGCGTAAATTATCCGACGACAACGACTCGCCGATCATCTCTCGGTGTGTGCACCTTCCAAGGAAGAAGACTAACCGCAACGTAATCACGAATGAGGCGCGAGCACTATTTCTGAAACTTTAATTTTTATATCGACGAAATAAAAAGCAATAGACCAAGGCGATCGCCTATTGACTCTCCCGATACTCATGCACTAGTACACGATATTATTCACTTTTGACAGATTAAACGCGAAATCGCGAAGCGTAAATTATCCGACGACGACTCGCCGACTATCTCTCGGTCTGTGCACCTTCCAAGGAAGAAGACTAACCGCGACGTAATCACGAACGAGGCGCGAGAGAGCACTATTTTTGAAACTTTAATTTTTATCGATGAAATAAAAAAAACAAACAAATAGACCAAGACGATTGGTGATGCAAAATCGCGGAACGTAATTAGTTATCTGACGGCAATCGCACGCGGATCACTTTTCAAGAAGAGAGACTAGCCGCGACGTAAATGCGAGCAAAGCATCACTTTTGAAATCTTAATCTTCTTCTTCTCTTTTATATGGCCAGATTCCCACGGGGTTTAACACGGGTCAGTGGAATCTACACAAAGTTGAATAGGAATACGAACGCGATTTGAGAGATTTGAAATTACAAAAAACCGAGTAGGAATACAAAGTTGTTGAGATGCCCTCTGTGGGAATTTGAAATCTTTATACTTTACATCGACGAAATAAAAGAAAACACGAAGAATCTTTAGACAAGCAATGAGTATTACGAACTGAAGAGCAATATATCGAACGGGATGTTTCTTCGCGATACCGAATATCCGCGTACTTCACGTACGATACATATTTCTCGTAATCGTTTCAGAAAAATGTAGCACAAAGTAATAGCAACGGATCAAGGCGATCACGCATTGTTCGATTTCGACACTCCCGATATTCATTCGATACGCAACGCTCACTTCTGATGGACGAAAAGACGCGAGATTGCAGAACGTAACGCACAGCCCGAGTGTCCACGACCGAACTGAGCTAAGAGCTCAATGCTCATTGGAAACTTTAGGCAGAAGAAAGATCATAAGAAGGGGCAAAAGCAAAATTACTGGAGAATATTGGAGAGGGCTGTAGCTCATTGGTCACTTCGAAATGAATCCGCGTTTCCTCGAAAGAAGCAGCTAGAGGGCCCGGATGCAACACGAAGGAGCAAGATTATTGGAGAATATTGGCGGGGGCAGTAGCTCATTGGTCACTTCGAAACGAATCCGCGTTTCTTCGAAAAAAACAGCTAGGCGGTACCGTAAACAGTTCGGCGAGCCCGAGACGAAAAAACGTCTCGACTCGACACGTTTTTTCATCTTTGTTTTCGTCGAAAAATTCTCTCTTTCAAAACACTTACATTCGGTTCCCCGAAATGCAGCGATGCGGTGTCAAATGAATTCTCAGAATTTGTCGCCCTCTCGAAAGTTTTTTAGACGAAAGCGACGCTCGAGCTGAGCCTCGCTCCGGACTCGTGTTTTGATTTATATTGTGACTAGCTTCATTTTCTCCACGCGGATTCATTTTGAAGTGGCCAATGAGGTGTTCCTTTTTCAATACCCTCCAATAATTTTGCTTCTTCCTATAATTTTTGCCTTTTCTTATGAGTTCTGCCCTATCTATAATATTTCCAGGAATCTTCGGTCGTAAATCGTTCGATCGTGAATCATTTCGCGTCTCTGTCTCCACGATGGAATTAAAAAACTTATCAAAAATTTGAAAACACATAGTCTTGGGAAGACTCGCCGCTGAGGCTAAAAAGAAAAAGCTGCGGCGTAAATTAAACACAAGCCGAGGCTCGAGCGTGTCGCTTTCGAGAAATCAAAAATCTTTTACTTTTGAACGATCGACGACGGCTGAAAAATTAAACGTGATGTCGAATGCGAGGCATTTCGAGAGACTTATAATTTTAAAAAAGACACGGAACTGCGGAACATATCTAAATTCAGCTTCTCCGCGATAGAACTGAGGTGCCGTAAAATTTGAGAACAGTGAGAAGAGGAAAATGGCTTGCTGACTAGCTTAATGCAAGCGCGACTTCCGGTAAAAACGGAGATTATTATATATTAAAAAAAAAAAAAATTATAAAAACGAAAACTTCTCTCTCTCACCGTGGAAAATATCCATGCGAGAAACGTTATATCTACATTCGTTCTCGAACGTTGAATAGTATACTGACCTTACTTTATACGCAACAGGTTTCGAGCTGCGTAATTGTGTTATAAGTGCTAATTTTTTGTCATTCAATTTACTTTTCGTGAAAACGGACGGATCGAGGACTCGGCGCGTGACGTTGGCGTCGAATGAGAATTTACACAAGCTGTTTGTCCCCGTAAACAGAAATGTCGCGAAAGTCATGGATATGCATGGCACACCAACGTTCGTTAAGCTAGTAGTTGCGTCCGGAATATTGTCAGACACGGCTCGAGAAACGTGCCGCGAAGATGACGAACACTTGCTCAGTGTGTATGCCATAATAACAAATTTCCACACTATAAAACACACTCGCACACACATATTCTCTTTTTGTCTCTCTTCCGCAAGATTTCAATATTTTCAACTTTGTGTCCATTCGATCTCGATATACCTTAATGAAGTACCTAACTGTAACGTTTTCAAACGTTTAATTGCGCCAAACGATATACAGAAGCTAGCTAATATAATTTTTTTGGAATGGCTACTCAAATTGTGAACGAAAAAGGATGCAGACTCCAATTTCCTCTTCGAAAATGATTGGTCGAGTTTCGACTTTTGAGTGCATCCTCTCGTCGAAATCCAATGAAATCGTAACAAGATGTGGAGTAGATAGCACTCGTGTTGTAAAAGTTGGATCGGGAAGTCCCTGCTTCCTCGTAACTTGCCGGTCCTGCATCCAGACGAAAGACCCTCGAGAGATTTTTTTCCCTTCGCGCTTTTGAGTTTGCTCCGGGACTCCACTCGCGTTGAATAATTGCTCGTTAAAACGAGCTGGGTCTTCGTCTCGCTTACCTTAGCGATCCAACACCATTCCGCGGTTCAAAGAACGTATGACGCTTTTTTTTCCTGCGTGTGATAATTACACCATCTGTAATCGATCGCTTCGCTCAAGTGATAATCTTGTCATTGCCAATATTCAGTTGACACCGAATCTTTAGACCGTTCCTTCCAGATTCCATTTGAACGAAAAAGTTTCAGTATATAAATTTAATTTACAATACCGATATATAAATTTACAACGTCCTAACAATTAATACATATTTTTATTAAGATATTCGTTGCACCCTCCGGCCGAGGTATTTTTTTAATAATTTCAGACATTTCTATTTCATTAATAAGTTATTGAATATTATTGAATATTATTACATAACTATAGTAAAATTTTCACTTCTCTATTTTTAGTGCGATTCTGGAGTAGCTGTGGACAGATTCTTTCACGCCTTGTACTCGACGAGGAAGAAGCACTTGATGCCGTTTCTGCTCGGCACCGCTTGTTCAGAAGTCACCGAGACATTGGCCAAAATTGTGCCCTATTGGAACGTGATCCAAGTGTCGTTTGGCTCGACGGCGCCGGCCCTCTCGGATTCCAACGAGTATCCCCTGTTCCTGCGAACCGTCGCGCCGGACTCGAGCCACAATCCGGCGAGGATAGCGTTGATCAAACACTTTGGATGGGACACCGTCACCGCGCTCTCGCAAACAGGCGACATGTACTCCTTGGTAAGTAGGTCGTAAGGAACGCCGAGAAATGTCGCGCGGAATCGACTACTTGAATTTATCGGAGCAGCCTCCCGTCACTATGGCAGCCCGCACCGGAAATAACTTGATCGTAATATCGATGGGGCGTTACATAATTTTTCTCCGAGATTGCGCTCAAGACACTTCGTCTAATCCCTTTTAAGTCTAAATCACTAAACAAACGACACAATGCAACATATAATGTATCAGAACTGCAAGTGTGGGGAATCTAGACGCATGTTTAAACGATTCCATTTTTCTGATTCCATATCTCCGAATAAATGAAAGCGAGTACGAAATATTATCGGAATTTATCGGAAATTGGAACTATTGGAAAAATTATGTTTGATAACGAATTGAAAATCGGCTCCTTCACGAAGAACGGCATTCAGGTTGCAGTTGACGTTAATCGCGATTGAAATTTGCACCAAAAAATGTCCACTTATAAATCCAATACCCTCCTATCGCTGCTTTTATCATATATAAATATCGAGATCAGATGAAGTGGAATCCGAAATACGGAGTGCGGAATGCGCGCGCGAGGACATTTCTACCATCCTCGTTATATTTATTTATCTCTCTGTCTCGCTTTACGTAACCGCGCGTTTAATTGCGAACTATACCGCGGAAGTTTGTTTGTGCCCGGCGTGACGTGCGATCTATACAATGAAGTTTCCGTTATGTCGGCTTTAATTAACTTTCGATTTGTACTCACGCGCAGTTAACCAGAGCGCCGCGTGCTCGGTATAGTCGGTATCATGTTTCGGTTAATTCTCGGTCAATTTCCGTCGTTGCACTGTAACGGAAGTTACCACACGCGTCATATCCGGCTTTAATATAGTCTAGGAATATATATACGGACACCAAGGGCGTCGCAGCGTTAGGATTTCGAAAGCAGGCAAGGCAAAACAATAAATTGACAATTTATGTCGCAATATAATTGTTTTTACCAAGCGAAGCCTCATATATATGTATAGTATTTTTTCCAATATATTCATTCGCAATTTTAAAACTGAGTTTCCCCTCAATGGAAAGAAGTTTGATTCGATAAATTTCTAATAAAGCGTTCGCAACATATGTCGCCCATCTCGAAATTGATGTAAAAGCGGTTGCGAAAATTCTGGGGAAATCGACGCGTCAGTTTACATCCGCGTCTCGTTAAAATTCATATTGTTCCCCAAACTGGGCTCAAACTACTTTCGAAATAAACGTTCATACACGAACGTGCACACGTACGAGCGATACCGGGGAACACCGTATATATACCTGCGAGTTGCTTCATATCGCGAAGCATGTGCCGCAATAGATAAGAGAATTGTGAATGTCACCAATTAAATTGCGTGACACAAAGCGTGACGCGCTAGCTCTCGCGCGCGAGAGAAGAAGCGGCCGAGGGGGACGAATGGAAGTGGCGCGACGCGGAGGCAATCCCTTTCGGATAACGGAACTTCCGTCGCGTCACCGTGACGTACGACGCGTATTTGTAAGAGCGACGTACGCGATTCTTGTTTTGCACAAATGGGACGCAGGGGGGACAAAATGCGAACGGCACATGCCGTTTCTCGCGCGCGTCGCCGTCGCGTCGCTGTCCCGGCCGCTGGCTCCCAAGCGCGTGCTTCAACACGGATCGCAAAACGCGCGTGACGCGCGTCTCTCTGTTTCAGGCAGTGAACGATCTGGTCACGGAACTGGAGCAGGCGAACATCACGTGCACCGCGACCATCACGTTCGCCGAGAACGATTACAAGGAGCAGCTACGAACCTTGAAGGTAAAAAGTCGCGCGCTCAAACGTCAACTTCATTCCCATTCATCTGTGTTTCTCTTTGCGATAACAGGACTCTTGGCAGCGATCCTTCGCGTAATTAGATCGATAGGACGGTCGATCGACCGACGCTCACTCGGTCGGCGCGAGTCCTCCGTCTTTCCGTAATTCGCCTGCTTTGAAATGCAAAGTTCGTTTTCGTGAAATGAACGCCGAGGTATCGATTCGAAGCGCGATATGGACGACGCATCAGGATTAAATTTGCACTCGCAGCGTGCGATGTGTGCGAATTAACTCAATTTCCGGTCAAACGACCGTGTTAACCGTACCTTAAAGACGACTCGGGAAACGTTTGTTGATGTTTAGCGCGTGAAAAGCGCTTGAAATAAAAATTCAGTCTGAATTAAATCGCGAAATTGCGACGCGATAAAATTTTCAACGTGCAATCATCACTATCTCTTTTGCTTCATTAGTATCATTTATCGCGTTTACGTGTATTAGCGTTGCTACAAATGGAAACTGAAACCTTTTTTAATAAAAGATACACGTATCACCATTCCAGGAATTGGACACCAGGATCATTATCGGCAGTTTTTCACCGCGATTGGCGCAACGTGTCTTCTGCGAGGTGAGTCTGCGGGGAGAAAGCAAATCTTTTTTTTTTAATCTCAACAAGAAGATTATTATTTTTAAAAATTGTAGATATTTCCATACTTACCGTAAATAAGCTCTGTTCAAACAGGGGGAGGGATAAAACGTAGAATCATTTTTGGCGAGCAGATATACAGCCGTGATAAAGAACGGCAACGACCACATCCTCACGGACTAATTAATGACGCTTTTAATAACTCTCATTACAACCCGTGTAATTTCGACGAAGTTGGGTCGACGACTACAATTTCGACTACTCATTCATTTCTAAAGCCCCCAACGGTCCGGTTGGAAACCCTCGCTAACAAGAAAAAACAATTTTGCGGTTGTTCTAACGTTTGCCGGGTTGAATTTAGAGCGAAGTAGTTTTTACCGAAGTAGAAGAAACGTAGATAGAGAATGCAAACGGATAAACCCCGGTCTCGTTATACTCGCAAGAACTTCACGCGTTTTGTGTTGCCGCGCTCAACGACTGTAAAATCCGTTTAAAAGTTTAACTTTCAGCAGCGCTCATACTTTCGAACATCATTACCAATTACCTCGATTAATTATCTCGCAGCAACGTTATCTACTTTATCTCTTTTGCAATTACTGCTACCGAAGATAGAATAAAATGCTCTTTCATACAAAAGTACGTTCTATACCACTCCCGAAATGAAATTCTTTTGCAATCTGATAAACGGCATATTGACGTTTAAATTATACAATCTAACAAACTGCAACTTGATAAACACATGCACATTCGGGCGCATTCGATCACATTCAGCACGTCATCGAACGCGAAAATCAGAAATGCCTTTTGTGTCAAGTATTGTATGAAAGCAGCACGATTTATGGAAAAATAGCGCATCCATTATACATAATTCGAATTTTATGATATCTATTTGACGGTAAGGATTCATCTTTCATACTCCCATCCATCGACATGCAGTACCCTTCGAACTTCACAAGAGGAGAAAGCGCCCGTTCCGACAATTCCTTGCAGTGTTTCTGGATTTTACGAGCGCTCGAACGATAGGAGCGATACAATAGTGATATTTCTTCACAACCGTCTACAAAACTGAAGTGGAAAAAGTCCGGAACGTTTTTACCCTCCATTCCATGGCATCATGAAATTTTCAACAGGGCTGTATATGCCTATAAATGCCCATCAAATCGAACGATTTTTTGATTTCTTCACGTACATCTACCACGCTGCACGTATATATTCCTATATATAGTGGCAAAGCAATTTTTGCCTCTATTGCTTGTTAGATTAAATAGCTCCGCTATTACGTATTACGGTGTTACGTGAAAGGGGGATATCAAATATATCAGTCAGATATTATCAATGACCGTAATACCGCGTAAGCATAAGCACGTAATGCCAAAGTGGGACGCGAAGTTTACATTCTCCCTTTGTAATTTGAGACCGAACCGACCGCAGAAGCTTTCGGAGTCTTGTTTGTCGTGCGAATTTTGAAGTATACATCCGGCTCGCATAGTGATGAACATGCAGATTAGACACCGGCATATATGTAAGCAAACAAATGGATTGATATTATCAATCGGGAGAAAACCTTTTACATTTTAGCATGCATTAACGTCCCAAAATTATTCATAATGAATTCAATGTTAACAATTAATAGATTGCATGTAAAAACTTCGTTGAAATAATTATTCCATTATGTGTGTGTGTTAAATTATTATTAAATTGCGAAAAGTGTAAATGCTCTATAAATACAAAATATGAAATATGCTAAGAGATTGCTTTAACTTTAGTAGGGCGAATAAGAATTCCGTGAAGTTGCTATCACTACTTAGCAGGCATTAAGAAAATGGTGGAAGTTTCATAAACGAGGGCGATTCTTTGTGTTCCTGCTATTGTACGTACATAATAACCGTTCCCTCTTGCGGGCTCTTTATAACTGCAATTTCTTGTTTATGTAATGCGCAACTCGGCGCAACTGTAAATCTCATCTCGGGAGTATACGTATAACGGTGACAATTTGTTCAGCTTTTCAACATGAAAGTTGATTAAAACATTAGCTGCAAAAAGTTGTAGAATGAAATTGTATCACACGAAACATCGACAATCGGTTTTTGTGAAGAGATATGGGAAACTGACCGTAGGAGAAACATATGTCTGATATAAAGTCGGTTCTAACTACTGATAAATCCTTTCATTATAAATGAAATGGGTTTGAGTAACAGAAAAATGTCGGATATAAAACAAACCCTAACTCCTGATAAATACTTTATGTCAGGCATTTTCTGCCCTCGTCGAATCCTTCTTCAACTTCGGACTGGCTGGGTTACGTCAATCTGTTTTCATTACATTTCGCGAAATTGCCATTTCGCTGGGTTAATTGAGGCGTAAAAGGTGAAGAGAATAATACTAAATTTCGTCCGCAAAATATCTTTGGGGGAAGAGCCGGGGCGTGCTCCGTATCGTTTTCATATTAAGCTTCCATGTTATCCTATTTCTACATATACATCACTGTAAGCATCGAGTTGAAATTGCAGTCGGTTCGTTGCGTTCCGGAATATATGTGCTACTCGCATCCTTGCCACAAATTACCAAGGTTGCAATAAGTCTCCCCGTTTCCCCCTTTCTATCTCTCCTCCTCTTGCCGACCCGTTTGCGCGTGATGCTTTAAATCGTCCTGTTTAGTGCCCCAGAATTTTACTGTTCATTTCGCAGGTTCGCACGCAATGTTTTCACAGCTGCGTTTCCGCGCAAGATTAACTCATATATCTCGAAAAATTCAAAAATTCTAACCGATGATACACGCACACTTTTTAATACTGTTGTTCTCTCGCGCTAGAAATTTCGTGCTATTCAGACATTTAAAAGAGCAAAATATATTTTGAAAATAATTCTTTTTTTTAGTACGATTGCCGAATATATATGTATTGAAATAATAAGTTACACGATTTCGAAAATGTAATATGTTCGTTGATGAAAAGCGGAATATGTTCCCGTCTCGTTTAAAATCGCAAGACAGGTAACTAATTCAGGATGATTCCACATTTCGGCTAATGCATAATTTTCTCTCTCACGCTATTGTAAGTCATACGGATTGACCCCCATTCTCATTTAGCAGAACACCGCACACTCTGCTGCACGCAGCTAGCCGAAGGACAGGCCATTGTGTTACAATGCGATCGTGTGTGTCCACGTCAGCGTCCGGTGTGGCGTACGTTTGTATTGAAGTGTGTGTATCGGTTTGCCTTACAAGTTAACACGATCCAGCACGTACATGACATCTTACGTGAAACGTATGACACCTTAAACGTACCTATTTCTCTCCGCCTGTCGTGATCGCGCGCCCACGTAAAATTTCCACCGTCGGACATTATAGTAGAGGGGCGATTCCATATTATATGAATATTCCTTGTGTTATCCCTGCCGCAACGTCAAAATTACGGGACGTCCAACGTTAATATCGCATTAAGGATATTCATATCCACGATCGATACGTCGCACGTGTTTCCCTGCAAATGGTGATCCCTGAACAGGGTTCCCTCAATGTCGGTCAATTACGTAAACGACGCGTGAAAATAAATTTCCGGATACACGAAAGGGATTTAGGGATGACACCTTGGACGAACATATGCCGGCGATTTCAATAACGCCAGTGGTCATCGTTCGCGAAACGACCATTATACTGGAACTAGATTTCCCTTCTGCCGATCGTTACGTTTTCGCGACGTTTAATATTTGTAAGTCACGCTCGCACCGTTTACGACTAGAGGGACAGGCATTGTCTGCTTCTTTCACACATTGCATCGGCATGCAGCAGAATACAGAGAAATGAGGAAAAAAATACAATAGAACGAAAAAGATCTCAATATTTCATGCAGAGCTAACGGGATCGATAAGATCATTTTTATAAATGGACAAAAAGATTGTATTCTTCATGCTCGCATAGATCATTGTAGATACGTTAAATATGCGAATCTTCTTTAATTAAAAAAGTACCAGTACCATCTGATACTTATATGGCCACGTAAAACGCGAGACGCATTTAAATTTATCTTTATATGTATATCTTCGTACATTTACGTTTTTAAAGTGGTCATAATTTAAAATTTCAAGATAATTATAATACTTTTTCATCACGAGATCGTTAGACATAATTGGTTTTATGGATCGCATTATGCATACACGATGTAATGTACTGAATACCTTTCTGTTTAAGCCATAATCATTGATTCTGTAAATAAATGCCTCGCAACAGCTGCGTGAAACGTATATAAGGTTTGTATAAAATGTACAGCCTTCGCGATAAACCTTTTATGATAATACAATGGCACGGCTGATCGTATACAATAAAAGGATTAAATGCTCTTTTACAGCGAAATAACACGACCGCGATCAAGCGCGTATTGCACCTTCGGCAGAATTTTTTTCTGCGAGGACTTCCCCTGAAACAATATATATAACTTTCCACACGCACGATTTTAATCCCATTTCTCTTTTTTTTTCACACCGCCCCGCGTTCGATATTCACTGATGACGCGTACGTAACGAACGCACGATTTTCCGGTGAAACGGACAAATCTTCAATCTATTGATCAATCGGGGAATGGGATAAGCCGATGCGCGTCGAATTGCGACCGGACCGCAAATCTATTATTCTGTATTGAGTGACAAGTTACTTCAGAAATTAATGGATAATATTGTAAATCTAAATACGCGCGACACGTTGACGCACACGTGGAAGAAAATCGATCATTTCGAGGAAGAGTATGTCGTCGCTTATACACGTGCCATCACCTGCCTCTGCTACTGAATAACTGATGCACGGTTAAATTAAGAATTCGGATTACATGCTTGTTCAATTACTGGGAAAGCGCGCGCGTAACGGAACGTTCGTCGTAAGGAGAATAGCACAAAGGCACGGAGATGAAGAAAAAAAATTCGTCGTTCAATATTTTTTAATGATCATATAAGTTCCCTATCTCCATCCGTTCTTTCGCGGAGATCACCTGTATTAACGTTATCGAAAAACCGTACTTTAAGTAAAGCGGAAGCGTGCAACTACTTCCCTTTCCCACCTCTTTCTCCCGCGTCTCTTTTGCGTCGGACCACAAATAATTCCAGCCATTAACTAGCGCGGCCTTTTGTACACCGGGTAACAACTTTTTATTACCACTTTTAGTGCACTATAGCCGTTGCGCTTGTAAAGAAACGCGGCAACCTGATTTACGAGAATGCTCGATACTTTCCGAACGTTTCCTTTTAGATGCGCGAAGAACTGATACGCTCTTTACTCTTGGCACATCGTATTCTCACGTATGTGTGTATCATTTTCTCGCAACACAATACCTATACGTATACACTACTAACAAAAATACGAACATTTTTATATAATACAATCAACACAATTTCGAGTGTTATCAAAATTTATAATTCTTTATACAAAAATACAAAAATACAGTTTTTTAATAAATAAATTATTAAAAAGTTAAAATTACTGAAAAATAAAGTGTAATTAATTATCTAAATTTAAATAAACTTCACTGTTAAACTTTTTTTAAATAGTATAACAAATGTTACATAAATCATGATTATTACGTTTGTAGCATAAGCGCTTGTTTCGCGCTTACAGACGATTATAATCTCATCTCTCGGAAGAAATTAATTGATTGCATCTCAGGGAGCGTAAAAGTACCAAGAGAGGCCACGAAGCGTCGGGCAAGTGCTCTCCAAGTACAATTTCATAACGGCGACCTACTTCATCTTCTAACTTGACCAGCGAGAACGCGATACAAAACGCCTTAGGCAGATATTACAATACTCAAAGTACACCTGGCAAAGCCGATAAAGCTAAAAGAACGGAAACAGAATTCTGGAGCGGAAGACGAGAGGGATAGCCAGAAGTAAGGGCAATAAGAAGACGGCGAAGACACATGGCGGGATATATTTTAAAAAGACACCTTAGAGGTTCCGTGAACAACCCTCTTTTCCTCGTCGGCTCTCATTACATGGAATATATCCAGCCCTCGTTACGCGATCGCCATAAATAATTTCTCCTGACTAACTTTGCGATCGCGGTCGATCTTGCCAATGGGGAACTTCGCCAGTTGAGATTTTAAGTTCCATCAGCCGGACGCGAACGTAATCTCTCGTAAGCTCCTGTCCTTCGGCAAATCTAGAGAAGTAAACCGATCGATAAGCGAAGCGAGCACATTCGCGATGCACCGTCGCGCGTATATCGCGCCGCGTCGTCCTGTGGGGCTGTACCTTGACGAATCATGCAATCGTGTCAGGCATCGATCGCGATAATGCGGCATCGCTATCGCACACATTGCATTGTGCGTCCGTGTCTATTGTTCGCGCAAACATGATGAACCGGGACAATGTTCTTTCGCAGCGCCCGTGTTTAATCTCACGCCCGAGTTCCGACGTATTTCTCCGGTATCGTGATAAATAGTGTACGCGCAACCGCGGGGGCTTACTCGAGAATTGCGGTTGGAAGCGAATTTTTCATAAATCTGCGTTTCTCCTCTTCGTTGCAGATGTGGAAGCTCGGGATGCACGGCGGCGATTACGCGTGGATTTTGCCAGGCGAAACCATCGACTCCTTGAGGACCAACGATAGGCACTTCGGCGTCGGAGAATGTTCGCCCTCGCAGCTGTCGCAAACTTTGGACGGTTTAATCATCGTCAAAAGCCACGCCACGGTCGTGGGGAACGAGACCAGCGCGTCGGGATTGGTACGTAAAATTTCTGCCAAATTTGCCGTTTACATCTTTCTTATTATTTACACGCAACATCCGATGAAAAACTGCATTTGGATTGTCATAAGCTAATTTGAACGATATATTACGTGATTCTCCAAGTTTCCCGTCGCTTCCTTTGATTTACGTGCATCCTTTGACCAGTTTCATTTGTTCTCTGCGACAATCGCGCTTACGGCATTCCGCGCGTTTATGAGGCAACAAGTTTAATAAGAAAAAAAAAAAGATAACGATCGTTCCGGACCGTTATTGTTAACAGCAGCGATAATTACAGAATTCCGCGTCCCGTAAAGACGAAGGCGAAGATATATGCGAGAAAGCTTAGTCGCGGGCGCGCCACACCGTTGCAATATAATAACGCTCGGTAGCTGTAGCTACAACCCTACCTAGCGCGTAATAAATGAAGTCCCGCGAGCGGAAATTAGAGTATGCAACGAAGAAAACGCTGTAGGTCTTGGCCCCGCGCTCTATAGACGAGCCTTCCATTCTGTTCCATTAAAGGTCCGCGCAGTGAAACGTCAAAGGACCGACCTGCGGGTCGTGGGAGGCCTTTTCGCACCCTCCAGCGCTGGGTAATCAGCCTAATGACGAGCGACGAGTCGCCGTAATCGACATTTCCCGTCAAAAGTCGACGTCGACGTTTTGAGCCACTCTCGAAAATAACAAGTTCGCAAAAATAGACAGCGCGTCGCGACGCGCGCTGTCGTACGTGGATTGTACACGTCGCACTTTTCACATCCGACCGACGTCTTCCCCCGAATACGTTTCCAATATAGATATCTGTCCCGAGTACGTTCTAGGACACGTTTCCTCTCGCGATATCAACATGAATAATTTCGCCGCGTACCCGTGTAATTTCTGCTACACGACCAAATGATAAAGAAGATGTTTGGTGTGCAATAATAGTTTTTACGCTGAATAAGAGTATTCCAGAAGGCGAATCTTTTTGATAGCCACGACGTTATGCACACAGCTTACCGTTACTTGAATCATTCGCGATCCGACTATTCACCTGTTTATTCCGTGCTCCCAATCTAGAAATAGTCATCGGCAAACTAAATTCAAATCGGTGAAAAGTTCAAAGTGCAGTGCGAAAATATTATTTGAGTCTAAGTAATCTAATCGTTAATATATAAATTGTGCATTCAGCGACGTTCTATATTCGACGTTAGTCAGTAACGTGTAAAAAGAATGAGTGAGTTTGACATTCCTTCAAGGATGAATGCTCGAACTTTTCAGCCTACGTCATAAATGGAGATACGCGTTCCGAAAGTTAAGCCGCTGGAAGAATATCTCGAGTATGCTCGGCATAAAGAGAAAGATTCGACGTCACTATTTTCCCCTTCAGCGCACAATTCTCAAACTTCTGAACGTAAAATTATAAATGTAAGAACGCACCACGTGACATTTCGGCGGATATTATGGAAATATGGTAGCTTGACTAGCTTCTCAGTCGAGTTTAATGCGGCGTACAGAAAGGCTCAAGGGTGCTTACTGTGTTCTAATCTATAATAAAATGTGATTTGTAGTCACTTAATCAGATTTGCTGCGGCAAGTTCGAGGAATCAGAGTTTTTGCCATCCTCGTTACTTGCTACGCAAATTTATTCCGATGAATATCGTACTGCAGCGACATCCCCTTCGCTCTGATCCGGCTTACGATGCGCTTCATCGCTTCAAATAAGGATAACGTTGTTAAAAATTAAAATTCTTTCGTTCTTTCTTCTCGCGTCAATATTCTGCCGATCTCGATATTACCAAAATTAAACGAACGAATGGCAATATATATATATTTTTTTTCTTTACGTTTGCGTCTTTTTTTCGACTGGAATACACGCGTCGTTGCCGCGAACAACAAATTAAATTAATTCACTCGTCAGTCGATTCAAAGTATTCGAACGTCCGGCGTCCGTTTCTTCTTCTCGTTTTAATTTTTCTTTTTTAATCTTTTTCTCTTTTAATTATACGACTGCGCGAAACGGTTTTGTAAACCGTCCAACAACGCTTTATATGATTTCATTAATCTTGCAGACCAGCAAGAAATTTAATTCGGAACTGAATAATACAGGCGTCGCACACTCGAAATTCGCGGGTCAAACTTATGACGCAGTGTGGGCTATGGCAGTTGCTCTCGCCGAAACTGAAGTTCTGCTAAATCGACGGAACGAGAGCATGGCGCAGTACACGCACACGAGGAAGGACTTCGCCATGCTTCTACTGGAGCAGCTTAAGGATCTGCGCTTTATCGGAGTTTCGGTGAGTCCGTCGAGTCGAAGGATAAATAAAGTACGGATCGAGTGGCCGTTTATTACGTACATTCGAACGTCTACGAAACTTGAGGAACGTCACGGGAAAGTGCACAAAATTGCCTCACACAAATCCATATATACATACAGGATACCCCCGTCTTCTTTCATCTGTAGATTCTCAGGACACCCCGTATTCTTTCGTCCGTAGATCCTTTATTATTAACTCGGTGTCAGAGTTTTTCTCGTAAAAGAAATATCAAGCGATTTTTAAAATGTTAGTAAAAATCAAATAAAATGAAAAAGAACTCTTAACCGTTTAGCTGAAGAACTAGCGGGCTAAATTTAAAGTCACGATTAATTGTAGACCGTGATTATTATATCTTACTTTTTCCTTAAAAGCGATGAACTTTTAGAGGAGACATTCTTTATAATTCATATGAAATTGATATGATCAATGTACTGACTTACAACGCGCGAGAATGAATTCACGCGCGATTGGATTCACATTTCAGTAATGAAACTCTAATTGCCTTTTATATTTCATGACACGATTTTATTACTTTGCGACTGTCTGTTCGTACATTCGACACATTTATTCTCATTGTGTTTACAGGGGCCGGTTTCCTTCGACAATGCAGATCGCGTTGGCATCACGGCGTTTTATCAGATACACGGTAAGTTCAACACGTGTTATTAAAAGATAAAGATGTAAAAAAAAAATCATGTATTTTGCTGACTGTGAAAGTCTTCTGTAGCCTATGACAGACTTTCCGAATTCAACGAATCAACCGACGCGAATTAAGGGATCTGAAAATTATTGGTTTAACAAGATTTGACACGATAAACGCCATTTGTTGACGCGAATCGAAACTTCACTGACGAGTCACCAGCACATTTCGCCGCTCTCTGGACTTTACACTTCATCCGCTCGGCCCAAATGTCAATAACGGCGTTAAACGTACAATGAGCAAGAGCTTACGCCAGGATACATGATGAAACGATACAACCGGGTTTGAGAGCACAGACAATGGCGCGATTCTAACGATGTGGCATATCGCGTATTCTATCCGCGCCGGTGACAACTGGCGCGTGGACGCGCGTATAATCCAATTTACGAGTTTTCTACTATGAGCTGCGCGTCTAGCGTCCCGCTAATGCGTTTTGTTTACGAGCATTTCCGCGCCGTGCTTTAGGTCTATATCGCTGTCGCGGATGCATATGTACGCACATACATATACGAGCGCGTTCCGCATAGTACATGTCCTCTCGAACAGAAAACGCAATCTTCTTTACAGAAATCGCTTTGCACGTTACGTGATCGCTACGAATCTCGGAAACGAGACGATTATTCGTCTCTTGCTTTGATATATAGGGATATATATCCAATTCCTCTGTTATCGATACTGCATAAATTGCTCCAATTTTCGCAAGTGACGATCTGCTAAAGTATCTTATGCATTTAAATGAACGCCAATGACAATTATACACTAAGCTGTATATCGAGCAATTTGTGTTGAATTAATTGCTTATTAAATACAACTGAAGTAAATTATATTAATGAAGCATATTGCAGAGCGTAACAAATATTATTGATTGATGCATGAAGTAAATTGATACACTGAGAAAAAAAGTTGTTAAAATAACTAAATGCGTTTTGCTGACAGTTTTTCTTTGGTTCTATTATATATGTTTTTGAATTAAACATACATCAATAACATGAACATGATATTTTTGTGAATTAACAAGTATTTTGTTGAATTAACAAATATTTGTTTGATAGCCCGTGACCGCCAAGTATAATTGAATTAAGAAATATTCATTTGATTTTAAACTTTTTTTTTCTCAGTGTATATCTCTGTACAATTATTAAAGTCGCAATAAGATATAAAAATAACATATAATAACATATTTTTTCTTTTCTTCCTTTTTTTGGTTTCGAATAAAATATCTACACTTTTTAACTTTTTTATCTATTGTTTGCATTTATTTTGTAAAATCTTCTTGTCGCACATCTCTGGGAGATTCTGTAAAGAAACTTTATATTTTCCAATTGTATATAGAAAGTTTCATATACACATATACTGGAATATTTTTAAGAAGCACCTGATATCTTGATTTAAAAAGTTTTCGGCGACCTTAAATGATTTGTTCAAGTGATTGAAGCACTCGAGTTTCAATGGTGTATACTACGATTTCTCATTTCTGATAAATGGGATAGTGTAATTTGAATATGATTTACGCATATCTCCTTATTCATATTCCGAAGGGACTAGGGTGGCCTGGCTGTTACCCCGAGGATTGGATAGCTTAGGGTGGCCTATCCTATACTCATATATACCTACGTGAATTCGTGATGATGCGTAATATATACATCAAAAATGTATGTGCAAAAATATATCTTACATTTCTAAAATTGTAGTAGACCACCCGCTGGCTATGTTAGTTCTGTTTGTTAACGGGCGCGCAAACGGCGTGTTTACAGCCACGTTTAAAAATAACCGTACACAGAGCGGCACACACGATGACACTTGCATTAAATTAAAAATTCGTTCTCTCCCCTTTATCATTAACGCTACAGTAACGCCGTTGTCGCGCTCGAATATAACGTTAATTAATCTAGAGAAACATTAGCCGAGAAAGTCGGCGCCGCGCGATGTACGCTGATGGTCGCCGTGATTACCTCTTCCTGATGGTCATTTCTTCTCTCCGTTATTCGCAAATGTATATAACTGCCAGCCACGCACTTCGGAGATGGAAATTCAATTTATTAACATTGTCGTAATATCGCTTAATTACACATGCGGCCTTATAAGGTCCCTCCATTTCTAGTGAAATGCTGCCTTTTCCAATACGCCGTGTGCACAAATAGAGTTTAATCGTATTTACCGTAGAAAGGGCGCAAAGGGAACTGGAGATATAATGTACCGTGTATATGTCACGCGATTTCATTTATGTTCACCGTCAAATATCAGCTACTTTTGTAGTTGCTCTTTTGTCAATTTCTCATGTGACTTGGCAAATTACGTTAATTGCATTCAAGGCATTGATCTGAATTTTTTGTCTGCAAAATTGCTGGAATAATATTAATTTTTGGATAATTGTTGATTTCATTACGGCTTGTGTTTTGCATCGTAAATTTTCCTATTTATGAGCCGAAGTCATCATTCTGCTACACCTCTAACAAATCGACGTGAAAACTTCCTACGACATTCCCATTCGTCCGAAACGTCTGAGAGAAATCGCATAGACTTCGCGAACTACTAACTCGACGTAGCACGACTGTGCAACTACTAACTTTGCGTTCGCGAAACTGGTATTGAATTATAAAACTGAGTGCCTCTTGTACTCAAAATTGCAATCAGACATCTCTTGCGTGCGTGACATTGAATTCTTATCTCCTTCTTTGCACTTTTAAATGCAATTCGAAAGTATCAAGCATTCGCCATTCGATTGACATGACGTTTAGTTGTTTAATTCAACATGCTTATAATCAACTCATCAAAGTAGCAATTATTTATTATATGTCACTCCGTCCGCGCACGAGCCATTATTTCATATCTAACACTATTTACAAGCTGAACGTCATAATGCGGGCAACCGAATGTCTCTTGCAGATTAGTTTAGCAGAAAATCAATACATATCTAGACCTTTTATATCGCGTCGCTTCGAATTAAATTAAATACAGGTCAGTTAATCAGGTGGATTATTGTGGCTGTTAAATGTAGACAATATTTCTCAATACTGCTGCCAAAAAAATACTCAAAAGAAAATTTCGCATCGCTATCAGACTTTACTTCCTTGGATAAGATTTAATTTTATTGTTTTGATATTAATATGAATCTAAAAGTACACGTGTCTTTAGGAAAGAAGGAAGGAATAATTATTGTGATTGTAGGAATGTATCTGTTACATAATAATCAAATGTATTATATATTGGTGGTATAAAAACCAACCTGACTTAGCCTCAATATTTAATTGCAATCAATCACAATCACGTTATGCCCCGGAGCAGATCCTCATATGGATTTCCAATATGATGTCAAGTCTTATAACACACTCAGCCATTTTTCGCGCGATATTTCACTAATGGCAAAAACGATTTTCTTTTTTTTTTTTTTTTTTTTACAACGAGTTGACGAAACGCGCGAAAAAGTTTCCTCTACGCAATTTATTTTCTGGGGTCAATTGACTAATATTTCACCGCGAAATTTTTACGGCCCCTCGACGGCTTGTTTGTGTTACAACTCTCTAGCTTCGCGTTTGTTTTCTGACTCTCATTGGATATATAAGTTGTATACGTATATACACATATATAAACTGCACAAAGTTTTCTACAGAATACATAATAATTTCCTGTTCATTGTCAGTACAATTGTTATGAATATACGTCCGTCGTTCAATATAATAATCGACCATTTTGAGAAATAAATAAAATAAGACGATTGAAAGTTAATCGAATTTATGCGAGCGGAAGCGATTCTCTCGACGCGTGAAATCCGCTTACGATGAAGTTATTGCGCGGCTATCATAAATTCGCATGCATTAAGGCAGCAACCATGGCCGATAACGGGACGAAAATAAAAGCGACGAATTGCATATTCAGTTAGGTTTTTTTTCAGCGTCACATTAGAGCAGCATCTCGACGATTTCAGATTTCACTCTTCTATCGCCGCATATGGAACTCCCCGGGGGAGAGTAGATTCGCCCCGCGGCGGCTGAGGGAGAGTTAACGGATCCTGAAAATAAAGAACCGCTTAAATCCCTCGCCTCGGCGCCGAAGTTTAACGCTCGTAAGGGTTTTCAGGGGTTCCGCGTTGCGGGGACATGCGGTGCAGAGTAAACACCAGCTTGACGTCGCGGTTTATGTATCTGCCGGATACGGCAGGAGTCGTAGTCTGGAGATATAAACTACGCGAAATGGGATCGTCGCGCCGTGAATCTCGCGGTAACGCGGTTGACAATAGTCGGCGTTCTATCGAATCGGCGATCTCTTTTACGTCGGCAAAAAGTCAATGCATTATTAATAAGGATGGACTCTCGTCGAAATCGATGAGGGAAAAAACGCTCGCGAAAGCGAAGAGACTCGAAGAGAGAGAAAGAGAGCTGAAATATATTTTCAATAATATCGCTTGGCTAAACTAATATTTTTTCATCGTCGAAAATCGGCTTTAGAGTTACATGAAACACATGTTTCTCAAATTATTGCCAATGACAATGGCACGAGTAGGCAAGGCAGCACAAAAGAAGAAAATATCGCATTAATATTATTGCCGATATTAACAGTTTTATGTTAAAAATATCAGCAGCTTTTTCAAAGGTGTTTTTTTTTTGCTGCTCTGTTACGATAATTAATGCGTTAGTAATTACAACGTGTGCGTCAGTCACCTCGCGTCGTACGCTGTGGTCAAATAATGGAAAATACAGGACCGCAAAACCAAGATAAATGCCGTCGTAATTGCTTTCGTATTATTCTCACGGGAGACGTCCACACATGTTCTCGCCGAAATTTTATAATTAATTCTATGCAAGAGAGAGAGAGAGAGAGAGAGAGAGAGAGAGAGAGAGAGAGAGAGAGAGAGAGAGAGCGCTCATTGGAAATTGAAAATTTTTAGCGCGGTGCAAACGTCGACGTTATTTCGACATTGAATTATGTACGTCGATGCCGCCATCCAC